ATGGTATTTATGACTCTAATATGATGAGGTAACATAGAGAAACGCAGGCCTGGTACAATACCGGAGCCTTAAGAAGTGGAGACATGGGATACAGCGTGCATAGGCTGGTAAGAGATGGAGCACAGGGTTGGCACGGGAGACCTCACAGCCACAAAAAATTCACCCTGTTAGAGGAATGCAGACCTGGAGCTGGACACAACTGTTCATAGGGGTAGCAAAGAAGACCAAGAAACTATCTAATAATATACGTGGAAGTCACTGACTATCGTAAGCTCAGATGCAAAGTGGAGCTGCAGACTAGCGAAAAAAAGCAAGGTGTAAAAGCGTATTAGCAAGCATACAAAAACAACTCCAAGTGGACCCTAGAGGGGGGAAGAAGAAGCCATCCACGTGAAGATTGTATTCCTCCTCGTGGAGGACTCCAGATGCTGATGAGTCGCCGTAACACCCGCCCCCTCACCTGAACTGACCTTGGGGTCCAGGGAAGGAGGGGAGGGAGAACAGCACACACAACACCAGGAGAATGGTAGGAACTAAGAAGTGTGTGTGTGTCCTGGTTTCGGCTGGGATAGAGTTAATTTTCTTCATAGTAGCTAGCATAGTGCTGTGTTTTGGATTTAGTACCAGAAGAATGTTGATAACACACTGATGTTTTCAGCTGTTGCCAAGTAGTGCTCAGACTACTCAAGGACTTTTTGAGCTTCTCCTGCTCAGCCAGGTGCATAACAAGCTGGGAAGTACAGCACAGCTAGGACAGCTGACCCAAACTGACCAAAGGGCTATTCCATACCATATAACGTCATGCTCAGGGGGGGTTAGTCAGTCGGTCGTTTGGTCGGTCAGTCGCGGGCAGAGTGGTCGCAGCTCGGGCTGTGTGATCGCGGCTCAGGGGGAGTGATTGCTGCTCGGGATGGGCTGGGCACCGGTCAGCGGGTGGTGAGCAATAGCATTGTGCATTACTTGTTTTATATATATTCTGTATGTTCTATTATTAGCAGGGTTAAACCACGACAGTGTGGAACAATTTTAACATTATTATTATTATTATTATTATTATTATTATGACGACTACTACTACTATTACTATTACTATTACTTTTACTATTATTGAAACTTTTCAGCACAGACATACCCTTTCTTGGTCTGTAATGATTACATCTGGATTTATAGTAATTCTTGAATGAGGCTGTGAAGATTTCAATTATGCTAACAATAAATTTTTTACTTTGTAATTAAGGTGTGTATCATCTGTCGCAAATAAGGTTTTGACTGTAACGCGCTTGGTGTACAGACAGTAGATTTCTGTCTCAAGAACATACATTTCCTAGGAAACTTAAGAGTTTGGGGATGACCCTCGTTATGGATAAGTATTCATTTGCCATGCTCAGCCTCTGAGAGGAATAATGCATTAAGCTTTTTAATAAAGGTAGGAATGACACCACAGAAGTGATGCTGTTATACTCCTCTTTGTAAACCATAAAACATTATTTAAATCTAAATAATCACCCCTAAACATGTTTGTTTTGTAAAAAGTCCTGCATTTGCTACTTTAACTAAAGGCAAGCAGTTAAAACTAACTATTTCATACTATGTATATCTAATCTACTACCTATATCCAATTAAAAAAGAGAAAATTGCCCCTTAAATGATGTTGATACAACATTTATACATTTTTGAGGGAGAATTTGCCACTATATTGTGTATGTATGCTAGCTTCATTGGATAAGTACTTGATGCCTTTTTTTCCAGTTTGTTTGAAAAATATAACATCAGAACCTATTTCAGGTTGAGATCCAGATCTCTAGTCCAACCTGTGGCCCAAAGCAGAGTCAGACTGGGGTGCTCAGCGCTTTATCCAGTTGGGTCTTAAAAAACCTCAAAGGACTAAGGCTGCTACTGCTTTGACTCCACTGCCTGACCTCATGAGTCCTGCTGTAGTAAAGAGCATATCCCTGCCTTCTCAGCTACTTCCCCACTAGTGTTAGAAGGCTGCTGTTACGTACCCCTGAACCCTTCTCCTCTCCAGGCTGAGCAAGCGTGGTTCCCTCAGCCTCTGGCAGTGCCTCTTCTCCAGCCCCTGACCATCTTGGTCACTGCCTGCTAAACCTGCTCCAACTCATCAATGTCTGCCTCGTACTGGAGGGCCCAAAACTGGCCACAGCGTTCAGATGTGGCCTAAGGAGTGCCTAATAAAAAGGGGATTAATGGTTTCCCCCGACTGAGTGGCTACCCTCCTGTTAGTGTAGCCCAGGCAGTTACTGGCTGACTTTGCTGCCAGGGCATGCGCTGGGGTCAACTTAGCTTGCTGTCCACCAGACTTTTTCAGCAGAACTGCTACCTTGCTGGTCAATCCCCAGCCACTAGTGCTGCAAGCAGTTGGGACATCCTGGGTGCAAGACTTCGCACCTGCCTCTGTTGAATTTTGTCAGGTTCCTGCTCGGCCTTTGGTGTTACCTGCAAAGTCGATGAGGGTGCACTCTGTCTCCTCCCTGGGGTTATTTACAGGTACTAAATGGGACAAGGTCCCAGGGTAGACCCTGACAAACTACACTCCTTAACAGCTGCTCGGTAGGGTATGAAATGTTAACCGCTACACTTTGACCTTGATTCCAGCCAACTTTTCACTCATCTAATTGTCCACCTATCCACCTGATGAGGTACAAAAATTATGTGGGAGACCATGTCAGAAGCCCTACCAAAGCTGGTATAATACTGTAACTTGTTTCTCGTGTAAGAAAACATTTTGGTATCAAATAGAACACTTGGGAAATAGTTACCTGACAGTACTAAAGGAATTCCATATCAACCTCAAAAGAAAGGAATTAGACCTCAAGGAGAAGACATGGCAGGAACTCTTTTGACAATTTAAGTCTTAGCAAGCCTCTTCAAAGAACTTCTTATACTTGAAGAAAAGCCGAGAAATCAGAAAGACTCTCTATTGGAAAGACCATTGTTGGACTTGTTTTGAAACAAGATTTGGATTACTCTTCAGCCACCACGAGAGCAACTTCAATAAGCTTACTGAGAAAAAGTCAGGATTTTAACTTATACCTATATGCTGCATGTGTGAATAAGACACATGGTCTGTAAGCAGAAAAAAGGTTAATTCAGAATACAATGCAGTTGGTATTAACTAAATATCAGTTACTGCGCTAAGATATGAACAGAGGGAGAGAAGTACTTTTTGATCCACTTCCACCCCTTCTTTGCATATCCTTTATGAAGTTCAGACAGGTTTCTAAGCAGTATTCAACAGTGGGATCATTTTAGCAGTCCTCTGTGGAGTTTTTCTGAGCTGCTCAATAGCGCCTGTGGAGTACCTCAGCTTCCCTCTTTAATAAGTAGATAAAATATTCCTGGTTTTTATACATGGTGACTTTGGAGATAAGGGTTAATGATCTTTCAGATCATTGCATATTTCTTTCATATAATAGCTTCCATTTTTCCACAGATTTGCTTTAGGAACATGCAGGTGTTGTCTACACATTTCATGGACTTCCATGTTTCAGAAGTCTGTGCAGCGTGGAGCTCAAAATGAACAGCATGGCTTCTAACATGTAAATAGCTTTTTGATGCCAAATGCTGTTTAAGACTATGGTGCTTTGGCAGACTGAGATGTTGCCCTGGGAACATTCATAAAGCCCTGAATGTTTCACTCTTTCTCTTCTACTGCATTCTAGAATGAAGGTATTACTAGGTTCACTTATGGAGGTTCACATTGCTCTGTGTAATGAGATCTGTGTTTGTACTAAGATTTCTGTGCTGAGCCAATGCCTTCCTACAAAATTGCTAAGGCGATTTATTTTGTCAGCTGGGCAGTTTGGGGGCTATATTCCCATTTTCATACTGTTGTGAAGTGCCACACATCCATTTGAATGTTTTCTGGTTGCTGTTGCAAATCTCTGGTAAAACCATTGCAAGTAAGCAAGGTTTTAAAACGGAAAGCTGAACTTCATTCATGTTTTGGCTTTAGCTCTGCTTTCCATGAAAACACTTTTTCACCGTGGCCCTTCTAGCTCAGGGTGGTTGAGAAACATTAGCGTGTCCAGCTTCCTGAGCAGGAAGCCTCTCTCTTCCTGCTGTGAGTGTGACCATGAACGTTCAATTAAGTGGTACAACATTCTGTTTTGGTGAAAGCACTGTGTTGTGCTGTAGCTGAGAATCACTGAATCCTATCTGTGAGAAGGAACTGCTGGATGACATTTGGCAGACTGCTGCTTAAAACAAGGCCGACCTGCAGCAGTTCACATACAAGTACCTTAAAGAAAGCTCAGGCCCAGCTTTTTAGAAATGCAGCTGCCTGCTGCTCTACAGTCAGAGCTTGTTTGTCAGAGACCAGCAAGCGCAGGGCTGCTCCAACAAGGGTCGGACGAGCCAGGAGCCAAGCACAGCCGGGTCAGCACCCTCACGCCAGGGGGGCAGCCTCATGCCACCTCAGCAGGGCAGTCAGAGCAACAGGACGTGCCGACCACCAAGCAAGCCATCAAGGTGGCAACCAGCCATGTCCCAGGCCAGTCTGGGAAACCCTCACTGTAATTCCATGGACCGAAGTGTGGGAACAGGCTGGGGCAAGGGACTGAGGGCTCTGGGGTGGGGTGGGGAGAGCCGAAACTGGGCTCCAGAGAGAGGGATGCAGGGAGGTTAGTCAGGACCACTCGGGGCAGTGATGCCCTAATGCTCTCTGATGCTTTACTTCCTAAAATGCGATTTGCTTTAGGTCGGGGGGTGGGGGTTATTTTGGTTTGGTTTTGGGGAGGGGGTGTGTGTGTGTTTTTGACCAGTGCTTAGACGGAAAGGCTCTCCTTCCTAATCGACCGCCAGGAAAGCAGGCGCCCTGCTCACCCATGCCTCCCCCTCCCTCCCCGGCCCTCAGGAGCCTCAGCGCCTTCTCAGGCCTTGTCCGTCCCTCGCTGTTCCCCCCCTCCCGCCGCCTCACCATGGTGGTGCCGCCGTTGCTGCGCGCCGTCATTATGGGCCCTCCGGGCTCCGGGAAAGGCACCGTCTCCGCTCGGATTATCAAACATTTCGGGGTGAAGCACCTCTCCAGCGGCGACCTGCTGAGGGACAACATGCAGAAGAAGACAGGTGGGAGCGGGGACGGTACAGAATTTGGAGGGTGGGGTGGGAGGATGGGTGGC